ACATGAAGAGGTGATGATAATGTCCCCAACTGCACTTTATAAAAACAAATTGCAAATATCAGATGTAAAATACAGAGATTTAAAACGTCTATGTGATAATGGCATTATACCAAAAAGGTACCACCATGATTATATTAACTTACCCCATGGCAATGTGGCTGACTCTCTTACGCTAACCGACGAAGAAGACGAGGAAGAGCTAATTTAATAATTCAATTATGATTGAAAAAGAATAATAACAGTTCGTATTTACGTAATTTTACAATATTAAATGATTACCTGATATATTCTTTGTCACCTAAATTTATTTTTTGTCAGTATTTCTCAAATGATAATTCGTTTTAAAATAATTTTATAATAATAATTAAAATAATAATTGGGTTAATCCCTAAAAGCCTCGACATCCATCTCAGGAGGCTGGCGTTAGGTGGATGGATCAAGGGCCTGATACAGAAGGCAGTTCTCCTAGAAACGGCACGTATCGTGAGGAGGTTTCTGTCTCTGGAGCCCTAACCACCGGTAGCTTGGACCATGCTCCCGCTACTGGTCGGGTCCTATTTTTTATATTTTTAAATATTATTTTTTTATTTTGTAAGTAGTATTTAAATCAAATCAAATCAAATCAAATCAAATGTCTTTATTTGCTGAACAGAGGTGTAGTACATAATTAGTGCCTAAGGTGTTATTTATTTTTGTTACATATTGTATCTCTTTGTTCTACCCGTTGGGCATGCAAATATTGGGTATATCTCAACCATTGTACGTATTAATGAAATTCACAATCAGTCAATATATGTAGGTACGAGTCAAAAATATCTTTTCACATTCATAGAGCAACTTAGTCATAGAAATTATACATCAATAATCGACAAAAAAAAAAAAAAAATACAGAAAATAATAGTATGAAAATCAATTAGTCATAAATTAGTTAAATTTAAATGTCAAAGTCAATCAAATTGTAATAACAAATTTGTAAGGTTTTCACAAAAAGTATCTGATGTCATTATAGTAGGTACAATACGTAATTCACACCGTCAATTTACTCCACTACAAAAATTATCTACTTTATTTTCCTGAAATAAAGTCTTGAACATTATAATAGCATTTATCTATCAAGAACCGATGTAGATATCTTTTAAATAAGTTTATGCTAAGATTCTTAATATCATTAGGTATTCTATTGTAAATGTTTGGAGCCATGCAGAAGACACTTTTGTGAAGTAGGGCTGTGTTTGCCCTGCGTATTCGTAACCTATTGCATGTAGCATTACGTCTGCTACGAGTGACCGTGTCCGCCAAAGATTCAAAGAGCTCGGATTCGACTTTATAAATATTGCAACTTCATAAATGTATAGGCAAGGTAGTGTCAGAATCTTATATTTTTTTAAACATGTCTCACAGCTGTCCCCCACTTTAAGATTAAACATTGCCCTTAGACACCGTTTCTGAGCTTTAAAAACCATATCTCTATTTGTGGAGTTTCCCCAGAAAAGTATACCATACCTAAGATGTGATGCAGCCGAACCATGGTAGGCGGTAAGCAGGGCAGTGTGGTTTACCTTAGGCGCTAATTTAAGGAGGGCATATGCTGCACTACTAATTTTTTTGCATAACGTCTCTGTATGAGATTTCCAGTCCATTTTGCTATCGATAATTAGTCCTAAAAATTTTGTTGAATTTTCGTGTATTATTTATTATTATATATTTAATGTCCAAATTTGTATGATTTAGTCTTTGAGAAAATTGCAATATTTTAGTTTTACTTATATTAATTTTGAGATTATTGTTATCAAGCCAGTTTACTATACTTATTAGAGTAGTATTGATGTCGTTTTCGTACAAATTTTTGTCTTTACATTCTATGGTAACTGTACTATCGTCAGCAAATAATGTAACTGGATGGGTAGTTGCCCTAGGTAAGTCATTTATATATAAAATGAATAGTAATGGGCCTAAGACGGTGCCCTGCCCCACACCAAACTTATTTGTGCGTATATGTGATTTGTGTGCCTCTACTGTTTTATTTGTAACATTTATTCGCTTAATTTCAACATATTGTCTTCTGTTGGTCAAATATGATTGTATTAGGTTTAGGACATTACCCCGTATACCATAATAGAAAAGTTTTTTTAGCAGAATACTGTGATCTACGTAATCAAATGCCTGCGTCATGTCGCAGAAGACAGCGCTTACTGGAACCCTTTGGTCGACTTTTGCCACAACTACATCCAGAAAATCATAAATTGCTCTATTTATGTTTTTCTTTGGTCTAAAACCCTTTTGTTCTTCCGCTAAAACATTTTGTTTCTCCAAATAGCAATGTAGTTGCTTATAAATTACTTTCTCAAAAATTTTAGAGAATATGGGTATTAGCGTGATAGGTCTATAGAATTCCATTCTTTCCTTATTTTCTTTCTTAAATAGTGGTTTAACTACAGAAATTTTAAGTTGATCGGGATAGATACCTGTTGTTACACTTAAATTTATTATGTGACATAGATGTTTTGCTATATACTGGCTAGTTAACTTAATGATGTGGGTGGAAATTCCATCGTGTCCGACACTATTAGTGTTTTTTAGTGTGTTTATAATTGCTATAACATCGGATGGAACAGAAGGTGAAAAGAATATAGAATTATTTATTTTATCAATATGACTCGTGACATTTTTACCTCGACCTGGAATAGGCACAATCTTATCAACAAAGAAATCATTGAAAGCATTTGCTATTTCTTGCGGCTTTGTGATTATCTTATTGTCATTAGTCTTTATTTTAGAGATAGTATCGGCGGGACGTTTTTGTTTAGCTTGGTTAATTATACTCCATGTAGTTTTAGCGAGATTATTTGAGGATTTTAATCTGTGAATGTTTTGAGCACGTTGGGTTAGTTTTATTATAACTTTAAACTTTTTAATATACTTTTTATATTTCATTTTATTTGAATTACTTGGGTTTAGTCTATATTTCCAGAGCAATTTCCGTTTATTCCTGCTACATAATTTTATACCACGTGATATCCATTTAGATTTACTTGTAGATTTAATGATGACCGTTTTAAATGGAAAACATAGGTTATAGAACAACGCATACGCTTCCATGAATATGTCGTAAGCTACGTTCGGATCACTTGCAGAATACATTTAGAAATATAATTTATAGACAATTTTAAATAAATATATGTATTAAAATAATATCGACTTGTTGAGTCTGAGGTACCGTACTACAAGTATGTGCCCGACCCAGTTCTGGAAAATGACCATATCACGTTATACTGGGACCGGTCTATCATCACTGACAGGACTATTATAGCCAACAAACCTGATATAGTGGTGATAGACCGACAACTGCGCCGCACGATGATAATCGATATCACTATTCCTCATGATGAGAACCTCGTGAAAGCTGAAAAAGATAAACAAATCAAATATCTTGATTTGGCTCCCGAGGTTGTCGACATGTGGAATGTAGATTCGGCTATCATTGTGCCGATAGTCGTATCGGCCAATGGGTTAATCCCTAATAGCCTCGACAACCACCTTAGGAGGCTAGCGTTAGGTAGTTGGGTCAAGGGCCTGATACAGAAGGCAGTTCTCCTTGAAACGGCACGTATCGTGAGGAGGTTTCTGTCTCTGGAGCCCTAACCACCGGTAGCTTGGACCATGCTCCCGCTACTGGTCGGCTCCTATTTTTTATATTTTTAAATATTATTTTTGTCTTTGTAAGTAGTATTTAAAAATGTATTTTATAGAGAATTTAAAATAAATATATGGAAAAAATAATATAAAGTAACAATTCATAAATAAACAATTTTAAACGAATTATGAATACAAATTACTTAGTAAGTAAGCCTTAGTACAAAGGCTTAATTCAATAGTTTATTGAATTATGTACAATAATATTATGTACAAAAAATGATCCAGTCATAATTCTACAAACGATTAAATGCCTTATTACATCAATATCGAAGAAGTTTGAATAATTTTAGTTTTTTTTTGTGACTAAGTAATTTTTTGTTAATGTCACTTTTAAGTTGTTATAATTATTTTTCAATTTAAAAATTTTATGTTGATTAGAAGGTGTTATAATACTTAATAAATGTTGATTTCGTATTTCAGGTAGTTTTATTTTATTTTTAAATCGACCAATTGGGTAGTTTCCTCAGTCAAAAATAAATTATTTCGACTTTTCCGTACAATAAAATATTCGAAAATAATCATACTTTCAGTCATAGATATGACGATATACTTAATTTTCGAATTTATCTAGCTAATTTTTTGAAATAAGTATACTATTTGACGCAAAAATATTATGACGTCATATGTTGCGATCTCCATACAAAATTCATAGAAAAGTATCGTTTTTGACATTTCGATAAAAGTATTGAATTTGACTAGTTGGAAACTACCGGATTATTGAGTATTTTTATTTATTAATTGAGTTCCTACTAACTCTGAGAGTAACAAGATTGTTTATTAGTCAGAATTTAATTGAACAATGAATATAAATGGTTTTTAATACAAATAAAACTACATATGTTGGTTTTTACGACAATAAATGTGACCACAAGCTTATCGTAAATGGATATACGACCTATACAGTTTTTTTAAATTACATTTTCATGGGGTGTATTAACCATGAATTGGTTTTTACAGAGACGTAAATCCAAGCTAACTTTAAAACTAAAGAAGATAGATAGGTTTTGATGATTTAAACGGTTTCATTTGCAATTTGAATTTTATTGTCAAAAAAAAAATCGTTTTTTTGCTCTCCTGAAAAGTCGGGTTTTGGTTTATACGACTTTTCTACCCAAAGGTATCGATAGAATTCAAATTCATCATACAATTCATATTCTCCGATAAGTGCAGCTTCATCAGAATACCAAACACAGACTGGATTGATTGATTTAACATCTCGCCAATTACCAAATATTTCCGGTGAACCATTTCAAAGCAATTACGGTGAAATCGACCAGAATAATTTGGATGATGAATTGGCAAACTTACCTTAAAGTTAGTGCTATTTTTTCTTTCACTGATGTTCTTCCCTTTTCTTGCATTGATTTTTTCAGTAAATTTAATACGTAATCAAACTGTGTTTTATTCAGCCGAAAATACTTCCTGAATATATTGTCATCAAACATTAGGTGCTTCTTTACTAATAGTGAAAATGATCCTTCTTGACATCTAGTTAAATACATATAAATCCTTAATAGGTAATCGTCTTTCAGTTTTGTATTTGTAATAATAATATAACAGCAAATCATCATCGTCTTCTTCTTCCTCCAATAGCAGCTTCGTTACTTGGTTTTCCATGAGCGGTCGCTCCACGACACTTATCGCGATCTTCGGTCTCAGTCTCGACCTACAGTACATGCCGAAGAGACCGAGCCATTTGTCGCTGTCTCTGGTCTCAGTCTCCTGTCTCGGTCTCCCGTCTCTGTCGCGGCGCGAACCACCACCTTTAGCAAGTTATAACTTACTGATTTGTGATTTTCAACAAAAATGGAAGATTTTGATAATGATTTGGACTACGAACTATCGCAATTAGATTTAACAGAGTATAATCAAGAATGTTACACATTATCAAATAGTGATGCTACATAAGTATTTGACGTTAATCTCGATGATACAGTATCAATCGCATGGACTAAAAAAATCATCATCGATGGCAGATTTTATCCGACAGTGAAGATGATCAGGAGCCCGATTCACGTAATGAAAACCGTAGCGATATCGTAGCGACTTTTCACCAAGCTCTGTAAAAACTCAGTTACACGTAACCTAAGTTTAAAGTAACCTAAGTTTAAAGACTCGTGTGGATCTGGGTAATCTGAGTTTACGTCAAACCGATTTCTCCGACACCATCCCACCAAAACTAGTTTACAACGAGAGAGTTACGAGAGCGTTTTGTTTCTACAACATGCATCAGGGAATTAAGCGACCTGCTGCGGTTTGCGTATATAAACAGTCATTTGCTGATGTTAAAAAAATAAATAATGTATTAAAATATTATTTTAAATTAAGATTATATTATATCTTATTATTTTAAATTAATATTATTAAAATATATGCATATATTTTTACTTGTAACAACGGGACGAATTTTGATACATTCACACTTCACAGTGTTACAAGCTCAGAATAAAATCGCATATGAAACGGGGAACATAATACAAACATGATTTGAAAAAAAAACATTATCCAATATAAAGCAATTGTTATATAGTATACTACTTAATTCCTATAATAAACAAGTCTTATTTAAAAAAGCAATGAATAATGCATTTAAATAATGAAAAATTAATATTTTTGTTCTAACTTTTATTCATACAATGGCAACTTTGTTTTTATTCCCCGATGTAGAAAATTTCAAATCATTCGTAAACTTTGTGTTTGACGAGTGCCCATCTTTCTTTTTCTGTGCGATTTCTGTGACCCTGCTTTTCTTTTTCGGACTATTGTGTGATAACTTTTACGACGACCTTTGCTTGCTTTACCGGACTGGACCCCTTTCTATTACGAGACCACAGCTACGGGCAATACGGACTTTGGATTTTTGTTTGTACGACTTTGTGTAGGTACTATACTACGCCATGTCTAACAGAACCGAAAATTTGAAGCGGAAGAGAGATCCAACCTTCGTCGCAAGTGAAAAAATGGCGTTAGTGGATCTGGTGGAGAAACACTTTGCTATTGTACAGTGTAAAAAAGCCGATGCCACAACAATACGCAGCAAAAATCAGGAGTGGCAAAAAATTGCAGAAGAATTTAATTCTGTTTCGTCAGTCCATCCAAGAGAACGGATTGTTTTGAAAAACTGCTGGAAAAACTTAAAGAAGAGAGCCAAAAGTGAGCAGACAGCACGTAACTAACATTATTTGGGAACAGGTAAAAAAGTAATTGAATAATATTAATCTGAAAATGTCATAGTTTGATGTAACCCAATAATAAAAACCGAAAATATTTGCTATAGTTTCAAGTTTGTTATAAGTTGCTGTTACTTAACTTCACCTTCTTTTTCATATTTAAGGAGGAGGTCCACCCAGGAAATCGACTGTAGATTCAGCAATCGATCGAGTTCTAGATCTTATCCAGACTAGAGTGTCTGGATTTGTTAATGTGTATGACTCCGATGGCACTCATATTTTAGGTAAGATTTTTCACAAGTCTCGAACGTTTTATTATCTTTATATTATTGTATATAGTTACTACTTGTTAGACCTTACACACTTTGAATTGGTTATACCAACTTTGATATCATCATCAGGGACTCGTGCACATACACATCAACTTTGCTGATGATCATTGCGTTACATGATGCAATGCATAATTTCTGGTTCTTTTAAAGACACACAGACAAACCTTCATTATTATTTACATAATATACATAGAATATGTAGGTTTGTCACCGAACTCTGACAAAGTCTGCGGAGACTGCCAGTAAATATGTAAATTGTGATTAAACTGTCAAACACCAAGCGGTCACCGGTGACCGCAACCTATTGTTCTATAATTGTGTCTACAAAACCGGTACTCGACGAGTTAAACTCATAAATAAGTTTGGCCTAGTCTTTTTGCTGTATTCAATTTGCATCATAACAAAATATATAAACAAGACTTTATTTTTCAGCATCCGGTAACAATCCAAGCACATCAGTGGCCGACCAGGCACCTCAAAATAATATATTATTATATTCAAATGGTAAGTATTAATTTGTTATTTCTTACGTAATGCAGATTTTAAATCAATTATATACATTGATTTAATTTGGTACCATGCATGTATTATATTGAAATTTAGATAATAGTAGAGTAATTTAAACAAATATGTTTAACAATTGTCTATTACTCTAACTACAAGCTCTGCTTAGTTTGGGTATAGACAGCATTGTGTGAAAGTTAAGGAATATTATCATTATTATTTTCATGAGCAGTCCGCTGCTCATGAAAATTTATCAATACCTAACATACTAAAAAACATCTTAAGTAGGGCTTTCATAAAATAAAGAATAGTATTGTACCTTGCATTAGACTCATTTGCACTTGAGCAGATGAGATTCTTTGTATCATTGTTTAGAGAGGAAAATAAAATATTCTAAAGTTCATAGTTTTTATGATAATGACACAAAAATTAATGAAAGATGTGTATGTACATACATACATAACATTACATGTAATAATCTAATATTCACTATTTTTATTAAATAATTTGTTATAGATGCCAGTGCTACTCCTGTACTTGATGTACAGGACTCCACGGAGGCCGCTGTAGTTACTGAGACTGCTGCTACATTTGAAGTTGTAAGTATTGTGAACTAAATTTGAAAACAATCCACTATACCGGTATTTACTCTTACGTATAAGGTCTGCACCTTACCATGGTGGACAGATCATATTAATACCATCATCATGGTATTTAAGTCCCCTCTTTGAAGACTGGCAAAACGTAACATATGTTCCTTACCTGCATGACGCAGGTCCTCTCTGAACACAGTCGTTTCAGGATTTTCTTACCTCTAAATCAAGCAGAAGTAACTGAAGAGCTTCAGTTAAAAGGACCTTATAAAAAAAGGTGGTTAATGGACATCACAATTTTATTTTTTAAACTGTCAAACACCAAGCGGTCACCGGTGACCGCAACCTATTGTTCTTTAATTGTGTCTATAAATACGGTACTCGACGAGTTAAGACTCTTCCACTATTCTATGCTTACAACAGATGATGTCCAAAATTAAAAACTTACCTATTATATGTTTTTTTATGAAATTGTATTTTATGCAGGACTGATCTCAGTACACTCCAGCAATGTTGAGAGCACCAGTTACCACAGCACTTGTTGCCTCAAGGAGTCCATCACCTGAGGCAACTGGCAGTAGAGTGGAACCTCCACCACACGAAAGAACAACTATCACTCCACCTAGGTTAGTAATACATGAGCGGTGCACTACTTACTATAAACAAAGTTGTTTTATTATAAATTTCCATATTAAAATCAGTGAACACCACATTGTATTATAAACTGTTCATTATCTCTTTGCATAAAATATATTATAATTAAAATTCAAGTATGTAAGGAAGTAAACTGTTTCAATAGAAATCACTACAATATTAAACTATTAGCTGTTATTATAAGTATTTTTTTTATATTTATTTAATAAAATTATTGTTTAATTGTTGCAGAGTTATATCCACTGAACGCCCTATAGCGACGGCATGTCGCAGAAGGCCAATTTTAAGGCGTGAAAGCCTTAACGCGCAACGCATCAACACGTTACTAAATTGTAATAAAAATGCTGATGAAGAACATGCCGCAAATATGGCAATTTTGCGGCTCCAAGAGCAGAGGGAGAAAGAAATGCTGGTTCAAGAAAAATTAAAAACGGAACAAGAAAAAATAAAACTAGAAATTTTGAAATTACAATTAAAAAAATTACAAGATTATTTATAGTTTTTATTTCCTTTCAAACAAAATTCACAAATTCATTACAGAATACCTTTTTTCTTATTATTCCAGAGCAATTTAATTTAATTCAAAGCAACTTTAAAATTAACAACACCTAATTTATTGTTACTGATGACTATCTTTTTCAAGTTTCAAAATCAAATCATTTATCTATTTCAATAGTCCATAAACAAGCACTTTTGCAATGTCTAAGTTGAAATTGAGCATCAGTGAAGCTAGGTGCTCTTTTCAAAATGTAAATTTATGAAAATAGTGCACTGGATGTTTATGTAAAAACTTATGGTTGATTTTAACATAATATTACTTGCATTGTATTATGCAGACTGACAATCTGAAATAAGATTTCAATTAATTTATTCTTGGAATTTGAACAGCTACTGACTGAGTAATGTCCAATGGTGCTGGGCCAAATATTTATCTTGTTAGTCTGAAAAGATAAACATATTATTATAATTATTTATTTATCCATAAAAGGTAGGTACAATATAAAAAAAAATGTTAGTTTCAGTAAAATAAATAGTAAGTATAAACAAAAAGTAGTTAGAAAGTAAAATTAAAATCCTGTTTGCATGTTTGTTTTAATTTGGGCTGGCAGGCAAAGTATAACTGGGTTTATTAAAAATTCTCAGTAGTAGCACGGAGTTTGGAATTGTGCCCAGTATATGGCAATAGGCTCACCCCATTATATGGGAGTGCTAACATAAATAGTGAAAAGTAGGTGTTTCACTGTACAGTGGCATTAAGTGCCGTGATGTGCACCTCTGCCTACCGCTTCAGGGATAAAAAGCGTAATGATATAGTAAT